CCCTGCGTGCACAGTGAGTGAGAGATATGAAACTCCGGTGCGGGAGCTACCCAGTCGCCCGGGCGGCAGTATAGCGGCGGTGGCGGCGGAAATGCTCTCTCTGCCGAGCAACAAGAAGTGTGAACGACGGGGCGCGGCGTGGCGTTGGCGAGGCGGAAACGAAATTATTCCTCTCGTTGGCTGTTGGCTGTCGGCGGAGCGGCTGCAGCAGGTCCTGTACTGCTCCTCCCTTGCCGTTCGCGACATCCCTGCAAAAGCGCAATAAGTAGTGGCATGCATGCTGGTCTGCGCGCAAACATCATTCGCGCAGGGACAAAGTTTTGAATGGGAGCACTCTAAAAGCTGCAGCCTTCATCGACATTGGACAGTGTATACATATTGCGTATTCTGAAATATCAGCAATCATTGACTGCCAAAATACAGTTCGTAATCTAGCAGCAAATTTATTTCTATTTTTTTAACATGGATGATGCTGTTGTACGTCAATTTTAATTGTGTTACAAAAAAGTAATTGTAAAATTAAAACAGTTTTTGTTCAGGAACCAACCAATGTTGGTATTCGACAGACTTAATTCTTAAACGTTTTTTCGTCTATTTCTTGTTTTTCAGCAGTCGTTTGGCCACTTAGCCCTACAGCTAAATCTCTTTACTAATTTGCAAATTATTTTAAGTGGGCGTAAAATTGGCTAGCTCAATTTAAGGACGCGTAACTAAATGTTATTCGTTTGCGTGTTGCTTTGTGGCTCAAATACAAACTTATTTGATAAAAATTGTGTCTCTGTATAGTAAAAACAACCTGTTTTGCAATAAGTTTGTAACTTTACATAATTTTTATCAAATCAGTTCGTAAGCTCTGCTTCGCTTCAAAAAGCGAAATCTGCGTAACCTTACGCTGCCAACTTGTTGGCAGCTTAACAAAATTATAATTTGTTTTGTAAATGTTCAACAGTGTTGTGAGTGATTTGTGGCTTGGGCTGTTCACATCTCAATCGGCTTCTGTTCCCCTCCCCTCTATGGCGCAGTACCGCAGCACACGATAGCAACGCGCGTCAAGGCGTCAAGGACGCATTTATGCGCTTTGTCGCTTTGATACACGAAATGTGGCCTCACCACCGCGGTGCGGCAGAATAGTGCGGCCCCACGCTAGTTGCGCCCCACCACGCACTGGCAATTGGACTGGTCAATCCTCGGATTGTTATATGTCTGGCCCAAGTTAATGAATGATCTAATAAACCTTTGCGATATCAAAACAAAGGTTACACTTTATAAGAATTGCGTCGGAGCGAAGTGCAATCTAGGCTCCGAAACTACGTATACTTTCCCGCGTTTTTATTAAGTTTTTCTGTTACGTCTAAAATTTCGAAGTAATTTAATTGCTTTCCTTTTAAATTTTAGGTTTTGTTAGAAATGCACTGTTTTAGTCGTACTTCTTTTTTCAAGCGAATTTTCTTAATAGTAAAATAGTTATCTTTGTGCAGCAAACCCCGCGTAGCATTTCAGATTTTGTTTTGACTTACTGTGTAAGACCTGTCTGCCCTCCTCTCCAGTCCAGTCCGTCGTTGGAATAAACGTCAAAGTGCGCCGACGTCGTCTCCGCCCGACTCGCCGGCCAAATTCCCTACTTGGGGCGAATCGACTTGCGGACTTGGTCGAGTTGGGGTTACGCAAATGGCCCCCCCGTTCTGCTCCCCGCACTGGTGGCTGCCTCCGCGGCGCCCTCCTCGAGGTCCTCGAGTCCACCCCCCGCCGGCTCGGACCCCACCCGGACGCAACCCCGCGCAGGCCGCCCCCGGTAATTGGATCAGCATGCAGTGTGTTAGGAGGGCTTCCTCGCCCACGCCGCTCACCGTGCTTCGCGGTCACCGTCCCCGCCTCAAAACAGCCAGTGGAGGAACAGCCTCTGGCCGCGCACCCCGCCCGCCGCAGCGCAGGCTCTGCCGGAGGCGCGGCAAGGCCTTCCCCGGAGCGGACTGTACCGCCGCAGCGTAGGTTCTGCTAGAGGAGCGGCACGGCCTCCCCCGGTGTGCGGACTGTACCGCCGCAGCGCAGGTGGTTCTGCTGGAGGCGCGGCAAGGCTTTTCCTGGTGTCGACTGCTTTCGCCGCAGCACGCGGAATGCACGTCGCACTGCACGTGGGGTATGTTCCGAGAGAGGCCACCTGTACTGTAAGAAAGTTTCGGGGTATCCCACATCTGTTTGCGGTTTACGCGTATCCACACCAATAAAACCTTACGAAGCAATGCTTCGTATTTGAATGCAAAGCCTTTGTAACCTTCGAAGCATTTAGACACTTTGCATTACAAAGCCTTTCCTTCGTACCTTTCAAACAGATTGCTTCGTAACAACAGGGATTTCTTTTGGCGTACGAAGCAAATGCTTTGTAATACAAAGCGTCCGAATGCTTCGTAAGGTTTTAAGAGTGCAATAATAACTGGAACGTGGATAGTATCTGTGATTTTCGACCGTTGCAAGAGGCCGATATGTCCGTCATCCCGTCATCGTCATCGTCCGTGCATCCTTTGGTGACTCTCTTTAACGTGGGCCGTAACACAACACACGGGCTGAAACATCCGCCTGTAAATGACAGTAGTCTGTCGACCCGGGGCCCTTGAATATGCATGTCGGCAACACTGTTTCTGTTAATCAGTGAGTTGATTCTCTCCTGCGGCGGCGGTCGGGGTTGCGGGGAGGGAAAGATGAGGGGAGGAGAGGGGCGTGAGGTCGCCAGGCGCACCACTCCTGGGAATTAAGACCATAAAAGGCATCGTTAGGGTGCAATGGTCAGGGCAGTCCAGAGTGGCGGGGCCCTGGACGGGGCCGTGGGCGGCCCTGCCAACCTCTGCACACGAATGCACGGGGTGGCGACACACATGTCAACCCCGCCGGCCATGGCAAACTCTGCCCAGTGTGCCAGCCTGAAGGGAGTAGCAGCTCACTTGCGGGAGGATTGGGGGGGGGGGGGGGGTGGAGAGAACGAATCACTGCAGAAAAAGAAACGAGGAGGTCAGCAGCGCAATGTGATTTCATCAAAAGAACTTTGGCTCTCCCCGACCGAGCAGCCAATATTTTCGGATGCTTTGCTGCAGTAAGTTTGGGTTCGATTCGGGTCGTGTGCGGGCAGAACGAGACAAGGGTGATGGGAAGGGGGTAGAGGGGAGAGGCAGTAATGTTGCGACCTCCTTCCCTCGCCCTTTTTCACATAGGGTGACTATCCACCATTTCCATTTCCAGGACCTGATCCGTCCACGCTCCGCTCCGCGTCGTCGGACAAATGAAGGGGAGGAAGGGCCATTCCTCGAAGGCGTTTGGTGACCAGAAGCGTACGGACGGAGGCAGGCAGCAATCCCGGCGGGGGCTGGGCCTGGGAAAGGCAGCGACCAGGACTTCAGCAGGCGGTGCCGCTGCCTCGGCCACTTCCACCACCACTGCAGCCAGGTACTAAGGAACATCTGAAAGATAATAGTTTTGTCGCATTTTCACTCGACAGAATTCTAAACGACGTGGCCACTTCACTCGCCCGAATTTTGCCATTCCTATCTGTTTTTACTGCCAAATTTTAGCATTACGCTTTGGCCACCAAACATACTTGACATTCTTTTACAGACTTTATGACAATTTTGGCCTCAATTTGGCTTTTTATAAAATCCAAAAGTAATTGCTCCTTCCCTGCAATATGTCGAAAAGTATCGCCAACATTTTGGCAAGCAAACTGGCCACGGCGTTAAGAGCTAGTTCGGTGGTCGGCTTAAAACGACATGATGGATATCCTTAACATGTTTTGCAGGGGTTACGATTCGGACGACGAGAACGAGGGCTTTGGCAGGTGGCTCCGTTCCTCGGACGGCGTGGCGTACATGCGCCTGTTCGTCGTGGCCAATTCGCTGCTGGTTTTCATGACCGTGAGCTGGTCGCACGTCTGGCAGGTGGTGGACATCGTTCGCGAAGCCATCGGCATCTGACTGAGGTGCGCTGAGGACGACGCTATGGTGGTGGGTGTGGGTGCGGTGCGCGGGCTCTTCGTGGCGGGCTTCGTCGGCTGGTACAGCACGGGCATCTTCAAAGCCATGGACAACCACTACGGCAGCCAGTTCGGGGTCTACCTCAAGGAGCAGCTGAGCGCGAACAAGCACATGAGACGCGACGTGGAGGCTGAGAGGGACGCCATGGGCCGCCTCCTTGAGGCCAAGGGCATGTCACTGCCGTCCAGAGAGCACGACGATGGCCTGGACATCCCGAGGCATCCGCCGATGCAGGGCCGCGATGTCGCTACCAGGGCCCCTCCATCACGGACAGGCGCTGATGACGACTTGCCGGACGTCCAGCAGACGCCCGGTGCCGCCTGCACGGCAGCGACTGTGGTCTCCGAGGCCGTATCCCCCTCCGGATCCCACTCCGGATCCCCCTCCGGGTCGTCGGGGGATTACTGTTCTGCCTCGCCACCTGAGACATCCTACTGCAAAGCCGGCGGCGGATAAGTTCCCCACGCTGTCGTTTTATTTATTCGACATGAATAAAACCTCGATCTCTGGCCCCACAGAGTATAAATAATCTCGACCCCCCACCACACTCCCCCGAAGCCGGTTTCCGTTTCCCTGGTAATCTATGTGTACGTACTTCTTGTTTTTTACCCGCCACCCGCCCGACACCGACGCGCGGCGCCGTGGCCGTGTCGAATGTGGTTTTCTCTCGGGTCTTTTTGGCCCGCGAGGATTGGTAACTCTGCAATCAGTCTTTCTCAATGCATTGTGCATTCCCTAAAGCACGCGGCGAGGTACGGGAAGGGTAGGGTGGGGGGCGGAGATGCCGAGCCTTTCACGCGCTTGGCCTGCAGATTGCGTCCCGTTGACGCCTTAGACGCTAAAATCCTCCACAGCGTCGGGCTGGGCTGGCAATGCTGGCACCCCCGCGCCCCCGCTGTCTTGAGCAGTCTGCCACCAGGGCGCGCGCCAGTCGCCCGCAAATCCTCATTTTGGCGCGTGTAGCACTCGCTGCTTGCGGTATGAACCTCTCCGCGGCCACACAGGGGAAGAAAAGATGACCACTCTTTCTCTCTCTCTCTCTCTCTTCATTCTACACCTCTCTCTGAGCAGAACAAAGTACGGCGGGTGCGGCTCGGACTTGCCGGCCGGGTGCGGCTCTGGGCCCTCTGGGTGAGTGAGTGTGGGATTTACCGGCCAGCCAGCCGCAGCACAAGCAGTAGCCTCTGCGCCAGCCTCTCTCTTGAGTTGCGTCCCGCGACGCCCCACCACGCCACATGCTTGCGCACGTTTATTTTCTGCCCGCCTATGTTGCTGTTTTCGCATTGGCCCCCCCTGGAAAAAGTGTACGTCAGGAAAGAGAAACAAAATAATAAAGGCGCGCGGGATGGCGCGCGTTGGCGCCGCAAGAAGAGAAAGAGAGAGAGAGAGACAAAGCGAGAGAGAGAGAGAGAGAGAGAGAGAGAGAGAGAGAGAGACAGGGACAGAAAAGAATGAGTGGGCTTCGGAGAAAGATGGAGAGCGGCGCGCAGAGATATAAAGATGGAAAAGCTTGGCATGCATTATGAGCGTTCACCTCTGCGTTCCGTCGCGTCGACCCTTGCGCCCGCCCCGCGCCTCGTCGCCGTAAGACGAATTAGGCCCTCAGCGCGTCGTGTTACAACGGCTGTTCGACCCCCCCGGTCCGCACCTCGCCCGGCGTCCCGGCCTGGCCGGCCACCAGACAGATATAACACAAATGCCAAAGGGCTTTGCCTCATCCACCCGCGGGGGGGAAAGGGGCGGGTTTTCATTATCGCGACTGTTCACTGCCGGGCCGGTCCGTCATCGCTGCGCGTCGCTCTCTCTCTCTCTCTCT